GACTTGATATAGTGATTTAACCTGAGACAAGCCTGGAATCCAGTTAATCACCTATGATAAAGAATGAAGGAATGATCATTATCCTAACTTATATAAAATAAAAAATATTCTATGTTTGATTTTTGACTCAKGGGTTATTTAGCAACATTATCTCCTGGAAGGTGGAGCCATAATTAATGGAGCGGAATAACATGGTTTGGAAACTCCATAGAACAAAGCTATTGTTTTGCGTTTAAGGTTGAACCGTACCATCAAGTGTTACTGACGGTGCACAATGGACCAAAGCAAGTATGGCTGAAAATACTGATTTCCTTATTGTTTTCATGTATGAGCATTTTGAAAGTGAGAACTTTCATTCCATGACCAAAAACCATGCGAATAAATATTTCCGCGCAGATACAGTTAAGTTACTAGATGATAAATAAGAAAGCATGAAAAATGCAAATACTACAAAATATCTAAGGACAAAATCCGCGAGAAAGCATGTCCTATCGAACGGCACACAGGTTTGATATATCCTGGACGCAAATAAAGTTTGTTTTGCGACCACTTGCTTGGTTCAGTGGTCTGCTTTTCTCCAGGTTCTCCAGTCATCCATCGACAGAAAACACTAAAAATTCATTTATTTAGATCARCCTTGATGTTGTAGTTTCGAAAAAAAAGTTTTCTGGTATTTTTCCTGATAGAAATATTGGATAGAAGCAAATTAATCATGAATAACCACTTCCAAGAAGTGATTCGCGAAAGGARAAAAGAATAAATTTAATTTCGCACGTAGCTTCGTTCTAAAACCTTTGTGTCACAAGCGAAGCCGAAGCATATCTTAGAAGTGAACTATTGAAAAGAATGTTTACTTCTACGTAAATTGAAATTAAAGTGAAACGTTGCAAAAATATGTAGCAGCTTACATTGGACCTATAAAGTGAAAGTACTGAGTTGCAAAAAACACTTTATGCTTAATAAATTGAAAGTGCTGCATGAGTTGTAAATTAAAGTTGATCTGCATTATACTGCAAACCAGTGATTCAGGCTGACTGGAAAATAGTAAGCTAAAATAGTAAATTAATCTGCAAATGCTTTCAAAATACTGCTTTTTTATCTACTCAGTGCGGTAAGGAAATTACTAAAACAGTCTTCGAAAGTGAAAGTCTTGAACAGTTCCGTTTTGAATAGCGTAATCAAAAAAAGACAACAACGAACAGACAAACGAATGATAGCTAGAAAATAAAGTCTAAATCGCAAAAGCATCCCAGAACTGAAAGGCGAATATAGTATGCATGACAAACCATCGATTCGACATGTTTCCTTTAAATGACTTACCATAACCAAAAAGAACAAAAGGGGAGAATTCTGAAGAGCCATTTTGGTTAGTTTGGAGTCCCTCTACGTATACCTTTCTCTGTCTCTTCGTAGCTCTCTGATCTTTACCAAGACCACGTACGACCTAAACAAACTATATAAGGTACTTTTACACCATTGGCTTAAAGTGCTTATAAGCCTTTGCACAATATTTTCAGAATTGATTCTTTAGATAGTGAATAGTTGATTGTGAAAATAATTCGTCATTTGAATGTCGGGTCTTTAAGATACGAAGGTTCATATTCCCAATATGTTAATGACTATGACGTAACATAAGGGATCATTTAATATACAACACTGCACTCGTTCTGGAATACAGTATTTTAAAAGCATCACCCTTTTACTCGTGACTCACGTAAAGGTTCTTACAATTTTGTTTTCAAAAAATGTTCAGCGTTCAATATTAAAAATTGCCACAAAATAACTCAAATCCCTTATGTTACGTCATAGTCATTAACATATTGGAAATATAAACCTTCGTATCTTAAAGACCCGACATTCAAATGACGAATTATTTTCACAATCAACTATTCACTATCTGAAGAATCAATTCTGAAAATATTGTATAAAGGCTTATAAGCACTTTAAAAGTGGACACCAAATGTCATGATGGTGATTACTGACAATTAATCGAAATTCAGGTTTCCTTACACTGGTTTTCCACAGTTAGCCGGTCACAGAGTTGGTCATATATAAGTCTACATATTATATAGGATTTCTTGTTGCACTCCACATTAAGTTTAATACACTTTTATTCATTTATAGCTAAGTTACAAACTCCTCGCACTAATAGATCGTTTTCTCAAGGTTACGTGCGCATCCAACTTGACGGGCCACRRAACTGAAAAACGCAAATYCAGTAAAATTGAGAAGAATTATTATCGAAATTTTTTTTGATAGCAATGCATGAGCGTAGGAAACCACGACGCGTAGCGCAGTGGTTTCCAGCTTCTCGAGTGTTCTCCCAACATCCCAAGTGTTTTGATCAGAGTATCAAACACAGAAAACTGTTTTTGATTTGTTTTATAAAATAACAAACTCGCGAAAAGATCGAAAAAAAGCAAATTTAAGTAAATTCTCCCTACATGCCGTCTTATTCAAACTGACCAATGAGCGCGCGCGATAGATTAAAAATGACGATAGCGTGTTTTGATACTCTCATCAAACATGGTTTTCGACCAATCATAGCGCGCGTAGTATCCCAATTATTTTATAAAATATTTTTATTCTGGTATCGTGGTCCTTAAATTTCCTTAAATTTGGATGCGCACGCAACCTTGAGAAAACTTTCTATTCCAGATCGTGATCGCTTGTCACTCTCTAGCTTGGTCTTCTCATGCACAACCGTTAAACAAAGAAATGATACTCTTGGAAATGACCTGTAGAATGAAATCGAGAAAGAGTGAATTAGATCTATCTTTTCTTTCCTTGACGATCGATTTTTTGAATGTTAATATTTTTCATTGTTTTGACTCCAAGGTCAGGGATGAGTGCAAGGGGTCTATTAATAGTAACAGGGAAAATTCCCTAATTCAGTTGCAGCATAATGAGCTTTGCTTTTGTTAACCCGTTTGTTCGATGACTTATTTATTCCAATTATTGATGCTCTCTATTCAGGTTATTAACTCCAGAAGCGATTAACAACGAAATCACGAGTTTAGGCAACGTTTGTGTGTGACAATCTTTCTTGGTGTAGCAAGCTTTATTATATTCTCAGTTAGTTTTTTGTTTTGTTTTTCAGGGTGTTGTTTAGCTCCAAAYTCATTATCCTTGCCTATTGCGATGCTTAAGTTGCCTTCAGCACCAAGAAAGAATCGAAAATTTATATTTTGTCTTCGCTAATAGTGGACTTCCTGTGGTAAAAGAATGTAACATTTCTTGGAAACTGAGGAAGTTGACTGAAGATCGATTACTGCTCCTCTTCGACAAAACAACTGTCATAAGTGACTATTTGCCAAAATCTTAGGAAACGAGGTCATTGTCCTTCGTTTCTTGGAAAACAACCAGGCGATAACAACCATTCTGATTGGCTGATGGGGCTGACGACATTCAAAATTTATATACAAATCCTTGACTTCCTAATGTTCCCAACATATTCAACGAAATGGCTTCTTCAGACGCTATTATCAATAACTTAAAGAACAAGTTAATTTGTTMCATCTGTCACGATATATTTACCGACCCCAAAACTCTTCCCTGTCTTCATAGTTACTGTACACAATGTATTGCTCAGTGGTATGCAAAAAATGGGGATCAAGTCAACAAGAAAATGGAGTGTCCGGAGTGCAACACRACGATAGATGTACCAGACGGCGATTCTTCGAAGCTTCGCTCTTCATTCTACCTCGATTCTCTCCTGAAGTTACTTCAAGCCATGAAAAGCAACGCCGMTCTAGGATTATCTGATTGTGGCAGCTGCGAACAATCTAAAGTCCTGGTTGCATTTTGCCCACAGTGTGAAGGCTCCATATGTGAAGAATGCATCAAAACCCACGAGAAAATCAAACAACTTCGAAATAAACATCASCCAAAGAAATTCGTTGAGTTCAAAGAAGAGAATGTAAAAAGCTTTATTGAGAACGAAATGGTTTGCAAAGAAAAGTTGCACGAAGAAGAAAAGCTTCTATATTTCTGCCAAGAAGAGGAATGTAGACGCTGCGTGTGTCAGAAGTGCCTTGCATCAAATCATCAAAATCACCAATTGCAGAGTTTAGCAGAAGCTGCAGAAGATGGCAGAAAAGACATTCAAGAAAGCATCAACCGAGCCAAGCAGCTGAAGGAAACATTTGAGGAAGAACTGGAGAAGTCCAAGAAAAGCAAGGAAAAAAGCCGACAAGAGTTTGATTTGGGGAAGAAAGAAGTTCATCGAGCAGAAGAAATGCTTTGCAGGATGGTGCGAGATCACAGCACAGCGATGATAAGTGCCCTGGAGCAGAAACTTCAAGAACAAACTACAGCAAATGATCAAGAACAACTTTGTATTGAGAATGGAATCGAGCAGTTATCGTCGTTCATGCAGCAGTGGCAGGATCTACAAGATAAAGGAGTCTTATATAACATCATAGAGAGCAAAGATGACCATAAGGCCATCTGTAAGACATTACTGGAAACGCCGCCTTCTTTTGTAACTGGTGACTTGACAACGCGTTACATGACAGCCGAGGAAGTCATGCAATCGGTGATTAGCAAGATCGCAAGGACTATTATGCCAGACCCTTCACAGTGCACATTTGCTTCGCTGAAAAACGTCTGTCACACCTTTGAAAACGACTTTTACATCATCACAAGGAATACAGAAGGAGAAGTGTGTCCCACAAGAATCGAGTCTATCGATGTTAGAATCAAAGATGTGGAGGGCAAGGAGGTGGAAAAGAAAGTGTCTGAAGAGCAAACTGGAAAATACCGTGTGAGTTATAAAGCAGAGAAAGCGGGAAGGTACGAAATACTGGTGAATATTGAAGGAGAAAGGATCGAGAACTCGCCTCTGAATGTAGATATACTGGACGTAAATGAGTTGTTCAAACCTGTGAAAATCTTCGGAAGAAAGGGATGTGGAAGAGGAGAGTTGAACAGTCCCCAGTCGATAGCAGTCAGTGATAATGGAGAGATTGCTATTGTTGACAGTCTCAATCACCGTATTCAAATATTCAGGCGTGATGGAACTTATTTGAGAGATTTTGGCAGCAAAGGAAAAGGAGAAGGTAAACTCTTTTTTCCATTTGGAGTGGTGTTTAATGACGACAGAATAATTGTCAGTGATGGATCGCACGATGATGTCAAGCTAAAAGAGTTTGACTTGAACGGTACTTACGTAAGAACTTTCAATACACCCGAGGAATTGCTGGTAGGGCATGGAATGTGTTGCAATGATAATAAAAACATCGCAGTTTGCTGTAGGGGAAATGGAGAACTGGATATCAAACCAAGTATCAAGGTGTTCAGTAAACAAGGAGATTTAGGTCATGAGTTTGATATGCCTGATAATAATGAACAGCCTGAGTACATCACCTATGGTAACGGGAAATACTTTGTATCTTGTGACCAAGACTTTGTTCGTGTTTTTGATGTGAATGGAGTTTTCTTGTACAAGTTTGGAGAAAAGGGAGAAAGAGACGGTCAGTTTAATGGTGTACGTGGACTGGCTGTTTATGGTCCAGACATGATTCTTGTCTGTGATGGTTATAATCACCGTGTTCAACTTTTCACACAAGAAGGCGAGTTTATAAGGTCATTTGGTAGCTATGGCGGCCCATGCGTTGGCTGCATGAACCGACCAATTGATGTCATAGCTACAGCTGATGCTCAAGTGTATGTATTGGAATTCGAAAGCAGTCGAGTGCAAATTTGGAAATGAACTATAAATGACAACTAACGCTTACATCTCAAGGACTAAATCATTGTCTTGATATTAGAAGTGCGACGCGCCCTACCGTTGCCACCCAATTAATTTTTTACTAGTTAGCCAATCAGACAGCGAGCATTTATGCTTTTACACGTGAACTCACTTAGCGTAACCGCAAATATTTAAAATTATTTCGTAATCTTTGCAACAAACAAACAAAAACAAAAACAAAAAAGCAACAAAAAAATTGGCTAGAAATTTTCTTAGGTTAAATCTATTTCGGTCCCTTTGCTGGGCAACGCGCTGTAATCAAATAGATTGCAAAAGTACTAACATATTTTTTAAGCGAAATGTGCAACAAACAAACAAAAACAAAAACAAAAAAGCAAAAAAAATTGGCTAGAAATTTTCTTAGGTTAAATCTATTTCGGTCCCTTTGCTGGCCAACGCGCTGTAATCAAATAGATTGCAAAAGTACTAACATATTTTTTAAGCGAAATGTGCATTACAACAAGTGAAAGAGCAGATAGTCAGACACCATTTTTAAAATTAAAAATTTGGTCAATTAAAGAACCCAATAATTGATGGGTTGCAAACATTTCCAAGAGAGTTAAAAGACAAAAACGTGGCGGCCATTGTGGTACCGTTAACAATGGATGCTAATGAGAAATCTTTTGCTAAATGGCACCAACATGGCCGCGATGACGTAACGTGCAATCGAAGAATATAATAAGGACTCTTGCCCCTCATCAGTAGTTCTAAAAAAACTTAACTGCAATAAATTGTAATTTTGCAAAGCAGAACCAAGCTGTATCTAAATATATCAGTATATTTTAATTCATGTCAACAATGATGGTCTTTTCGCAATCCGAAGGCCCTGTCAAGCTACTGTTTCTTGTAAAATTTGTCTCGCGAAAATATTTCAGAGCTTTCTCCGTGTTACAGACGCTCAATCAACTGGTATTTTTCGATTTCATGTTGCATAAACTGAAAAAGAGCTATATTTTCTACACTCTTTTTAAAGTTAAAGTTAAAACTTGTAACCGAATTTTTTTCCTGAACGACTGTAGAGTGTAACAGGACCTTGTGTTTTCAAATCAACAAAGCAGAAACAAGCTAGAATCAGACAGATCTCAATCAACTAATGATCTAATATATAATATAGGTGTCTATAGACGACTTTCATAACTCAGTTTTTTCAGATAGAGCAAATGAAGCCTTTTGACCAGAAACTATTAATGCTATTTGAGAAAATACTTCACGAAAACTATTTCCAGAGAATTTTGTAGAATTTGGCTGCATACCATGCTCACATCTTGTAAAGGATTTATTAATTTAAGTAGAAACTCACACGCCTTATCTAAATCAACAAGATCAATGATTTAAAAGGGTTTTCACTTCAAAAACATTGATTTTTAATGTTTATGCAAATTAGCAGCAGGCAGTTGTGAAAGTCGTATATGGAACTTTCAAAATGCAATTGAAAAAAAGAAAATTAGAGATGAATCCAGGATATTTCATTTGTTTAGATGGGCCTAAAAGAAATGTCTTTTATCAGGCCGTTTAATAGGCCTCAAGAAATCGTCCAAAGAAGGTTTTTTTGATTTAGTGGAGGATATTTTGGGCGGACGAAGAACTTCATCACAGCCGGTCTTGCTGGAATCTTTCTTACATTCAACATAACGATGGATCTGATCCGTGAGGTACTCTAGCGGTGAAGATCCCTGGGATAACACCTGATAGTGAAAGTCCCTCAGGTCAAATTCTTTTCCTAGTTGCTTTGAGGCAAAGTTTCTGTTTTTAATGATGTCTAGTTGACCAATCATATATGCTGTGGCTTGTCCAGGAACGCTCTGATAGCGAGTCACTTCTTTCTTTGCGACGTCTGTGTCATCCCAGGCTTTCTCGCTGTGCATTTGTAAGGCTTGGGACCTTGTCATTCCCGTATAGTGGAGACCAGTGTCTACTATTAGACGAATTGCCCGCCATATCTGAAATAGAAAACAATTCGTTATGATATTTAGGCTAATATATATATGTATAGAGAATATTAGACGAAGGCGCGAAGATATGAAGTTTATTTTCCAGCGATGAAAAATATTTCATGAGTAGGGAAAAGTAAGATAAAAAGGTGAAACTAAATGGACGAATATATGGTTTGACAGTTCATTAAGATGTTCAAAGGTCCTTTCGCAGGATGTGAGAGCGACTTTTTCAAATGCCTTCCACTAGGTGTAGTCATGAAACGATGTGGAGCGAATTTTTCTAAGGTCCTTTCACTGGATGTAGACATCACAAGACAAAGGTAAAAAAAAATTTTTTTTTTTCATACGTCTCTCACTGTGATGTGAACTTCATGAGACCATGTAAAAGCGACTTTTTTTACATCAATTGAAGGGGCATGTATCTGTACTATCCTATATCTGTGCATTTATCATAGCTGTCAGTATCCTACCTGCATCTGTACCATCCTATATTTGTGTATATACCATAGTTGCCATAGTATCCTACCTGCATCTGTACCATCCTATATTTGTGTANCCTGCATCTGTACCATCCTATATTTGTGTATATACCATAGTTGCCATAGTATCCTACCTGCATCTGTACCATCCTATATTTGTGTATATACCATAATTGCCATAGTATCCTACCTGCATCTGTACCATCCTATATTTGTGTATATACCATAGTTGCCAGTATCCTACCTGCGTCTGTGCCATGCCATATTTTCTGTATATACCATAGCTGTCAATGTCCTACCTGCATCTGTAACATTCCATATCTCTGCATCGGTTCGTCTTTATAAGTGTCAGTATCCTCAGCAATCAATGGACTTTCTGCATACAGTCCCCAGCCTTCATCGTAAGCAGTGTAGGAGTTCTTTTTATCCAACCAACCAATTGAATCTTTGCAATTGTCTCCAAAATGCTCGACACTCCCTTGCACCTGTTACCATATAGAAACACAATCACAATACGTTTATAATCTGAAGAACAAGTTTACCACATATCTTGCGACCTGCGCAAATGTGGTATCTCCGCTCGATAAAAGTTTCTAGCTGAAGAAAGGTTTGTTTTACAGCATATATTCGGGGACATTTTTGAGGCCGTGCAAAGTAGCTGTGTGTTTAATAATGAAGGGTGTCCACTTAATAATGTGTACGACTATTAGAGGTTTGTTTTACAGTACATAGTGGGGAAAATACAGTTTGAGGTTGTGCAAGAAGCTGTGTGTTTAATAATGAAGGGTGTCCACTTAATAATGTGTACGATTATTAGAGGTTTGTTTTACAGTACATAGTGGGGAAAATACAGTTTGAGGCCGTGCAAGAAGCTGTGTGTTTAATAATGATGGGTGTCCACTTAATAATGTGTACGACTATTAGAGGTTTGTTTTACAGTAAATATGGGATATATTATATGGTATATATTAGMCATCTGTTTATAATTAAGGGTGTCCACTTATATAATGTCCAGCTGATCTGAAATAGTGACGTAGAATGACGTCACTACAAAAATGAGGTGTGATGAAGCCTGTGAAAATTGACCAGCGTAAAAAAAAAACTTTTGCAATATAAAAATATAACGCACTAGTTATTATGTTACTGCTATCAACCTTAAAAGCGTTACTTTTTTCATTTGGTAGCCAGGACTGATCTACAATTTCAAGAGAAAAAGTGAAAACTCAGTTTTGACAATTTTTCTCTATTCTGATTGACTAATATTTTTTCTCAGATCAGCTGGGTGTACGGCCAATAGAAATGTCATGTACTGTACCTAACTGGTCATGTTCATTCAATACCTGCAAGTGATGGCCTGGTCTTGCTTCATGTGCATTAATACTCCACTCAGAGAACCTTGGGCCCATTCTTTCCAGGAAGAATGGGATGTAATACGAAGCACTTGTGGAACAGGTCTTGCTGCTGGCCGAGTAGCTCTGGGCACCACTAGAGGGATTGAGATCGGGCTTCAAATCCACAGGACAATTGGGTGTGGTGTGTTTAGATCCAGTGAAGTAGAACATGTTAACTGTCTTGGGATCCAACAAACTCATCACCTGAAAACATGTGGACAAAACACGGTACAGTCAAAGATACAGATCAGGGGGGACCCAGGAATCAATTAGGGGGTGTCCCAAATGAAGAAATGTATATAGTGATATCATGCATCGCTTTGAAAAAGATGTAAGAGTAATTATGGTTTTAGGGGTGGGGGGTGTTCGTGGGGGGTGTACCTCAGGACATCCCCTGGATCAGCCTCTGCATCTTATTCGAGCTTGTACTTTGTGCAATAAATAGGTCATATGGGTTCAATACAACAACACGCAGGCCTTTTCTCTAAAGAGATCAACTAAAATATCTAAAAAGGTTAAAAACAAGGGGCCATAAGTTAATCGTATTTACATCCTTTTTATAAATACATTTTATCATATTATGATTATACCTTCCTAGCCTCTTCGAACCATTTCTGTATCGTTAGCCAACGAGTAGGACAGTATGTTTTAGCACCTTGCACATCACTGCATAGCTTGTGAGCCTCTTCGTTGCTTTCGTTCTGTGGGAATGGATTTTTGTTGAAGTAGCTATCTGATGAATTCAGAATCTTACGGAACTCCATTACAGCTGTGGCGTTGTCGTTGTATATTTTGGTGACTTCTCTGGCGACTTGAACGGCCTTGGTATGGAAAACATGAAAACAAAACATTGTCCACATTTTGGAAAGTTTCGACCATTTCGAGTTCACCTGTGCTCAGTTTTAGACCTCACGCACACTATAGATGTGATTGATTTTTTAGAGGAATTGTTCTGGAGGATAGGGCGTCTTTTCTTATGCAAAAAAATCCATTGTTTTGTCCCCAGAACAATTCCTCTAGGGACTCAGTGCGAGCGGCGGGTCTATTGCGTATTCGTTCAGAGGGCAAATGAAAGCTTTGTAACAGTTATGACGCCAATTGTTTTGTTGCATTTGTGTTATAATGTTGCTTTGTCAGGTTTTTTTTATAGAAAATATATGGGAAATAAGCAAATGAAGGCCTAAACCTCATTTTCGAATAACATTTTTGCTTTTGGTTAATACTTTGATTCCACTTTCATCGGTCATCTCCACTTCCAAACAAGTTAAACTTTCCGAATAACAAGATTTTAGCCTTGTACAACAGCCTTTCTTCAAGAAAATAGTTTTTGGCGCTCACTGCTTGAATGCGAAAAGAATTCTCTCTTAACAGCTCACCACAAGAGAATACAGCAAAAAAAGATGAATTAAGACCGATGACACATCGATTACCTTTATCCATAAGAGAAAGACAAACACACGTAATTCTAMATATTTTCCGTCATCTTTGTTTTGCTTCGCCCCTGGCAAGATGGCCGCCGTATCATCGAAGTAGGCCATTGGTTTTGCTATTATATCCAACATGGCAGTCATTTTAATCAATATATGATTAATATAATTATCATTTACCTTCGGGTAAAGTTTATCCAACATTTCGTATCCCAGCTTGTTAACCTCAATTGGCGTCATAGTATTAGTCGTGAAATACGGCATCACCATTTCATAGAATTTCGTGCCATTCAAAACTTTATCTGTCAGGGGTAGGGTGGGGTCTGTTGGTCTGGAATGATTAGCTATTCCGTCTGTGTACACGTACTTGAGAGGAAGGTTGGCAAGACCGCTAGACACAGAACTGGGGACGCAGTGACGCAGATGCTCTTGTTGAAGATACCTAGAATGAAGAGTTAGGTAGCAAAATCGTGAAGCTACTGTCCACACTACTTTGACAATGTGATGACGCAATAGGCCCGTTTCGAATTCCAAATTACCGCTGTGTTTCTTGATTACAGACTCATTTGCACAGTGTTAGGCTAGAGTTTGTGCAGAATATTCACGTGTTCCTGTCAAAGTACATCGAGTTTCAAAGTGTTTGTGTTGTTGAAGTTGCGCATTCTTTACTTTACCGTTGGTATTTGTGAATATTTAAACACTGATACGAGGCTAACCCTGTGCAAATGAGTCTGTAATCAAGGAACACAGCGGTAATTTGGAATTCGAAACTGGTCTATTCACACGGGTTAAAATAACAGCAGGTTAGTCGACGGTCAAGATGCCCGGCAAAATTACTTTTATCTTGAATTTGTTAAACTTCATTTCTGTCTCAACATTAATGGTCAGAATGACCGGCAAGGCAAATGTTTGACCGGACAAGTTCCAATTGCGCTATTTTATAATGACGTCACAACAAAACGAACTATTGTTTTAACGCTGGGGATCACGGTCGCTGGAGGGAGATGGAATAACAACAACACATCTTAAATCACAATGAAATTCGGTTTATAAGCTGGTGAAGGCAAGAACAACTAAATATTACGCTAAATATCTCGAAAGAAGAGAATCAAGCTTAAATTTAGCCTCAATTTCTATCATTTTCACCTGATGTAAGCAAACCGTGACGTCATTATGAAATAGGGCAATTCTGGGGACACTAGAGAAAAACGTTTGCGCATGCGTGCACTTCAGCACGTTTTCTAAGAATTTTGAAGAGTTTGAGTGAGAGAGTAAATGTTTGTTTTCTCCAAGTATACAAAAAGGTTCGCGAGTATACTTTTGTCAGACCAAGATACTGTATTAACAAACACAATATGAAAGAATTAGCCTTAAGTTTCAAGCATAGACACTAAGTTTTGGCATTTTGTGAAGTCCAATTTATCAGGCATGTTTGAAAGTCAAATTTACGTATGTTTTGACTAATTTGCATACGAATTCAGAGCATGCGCAGACGTTTTTCACTCATGTCAATTCTGAGCGGACATTTGTGCGTTGTCCGGCTTTTATTTAAAGCCCTGAATTTATCGTCGATAAGAGGAAAGTGGCATAAAAACCGATGTGCATTTGTTACATTAATTTGCGGTTAGGGTAGGTACATTATTATACCTTAACAGCTCGACCATTGGTTTACCGATATATTCCACGAGATATCCCTTCACTGATTCGCTGACATTCACATTATTGTGGTTGTTCTTCCATTCCTCATTCATGGCTGATGTGATGTTGTTATAATACAATGGTGTCAATAGATCTGACACAAACCATTCCTTCAAAACACCTGGATAATAAATCATGCAGTCAGTTAGTAAAAGCTAGCGTCATTATTCTATCCCATGCACCCACCCA